GGTGGGGTGGGGGGAGTAGTTCTCGCTGCTTCCCCTGGACACGAGAGAGGCTCTGTCAGCACCCCAAGCTGGAGGACCACTGGGTTCAGGCAGCCAGCGGCGGGACCCATGATGGAGCTGGGAGCAGGGGGTGAGGCCTTGGGGTGCCAGGCTGCCTGTGGGTGAAGGCAGCAGGGGAGTCAGGGACCCTCCCTCCCAGTCGGATCTCTGCAGGGTTCCTGGTCCTCAGGCTTGTGCTCCTCCTGCCAGGGGGATCAGCCTCCTTCCACACCCCTCAGCGCCTCTGAGCTCCGCCCTTGGTACAACTAGAAGTTTCCCAAGTTGTCCTCACTTACATCGATGGGTGTCCCAGCTGTCCTGTGGCTGTCCGCCAGCAGCTTCCCTCTTTCTCTACTATTCTGGGCTTTGAGTGTGAACGAGCGTGTGTCAGTGCGGGTGTGAAATGCGGGCGTGACTGCGGGGGCCCCGGGTTGTGTGTGCAGGTTGGGGTGTGTATGCCGGTCGCAGTGCGCACAGAGGCCACAGATAGAGCCCCACCCTGGCCATCGTTTTCCCTACAAGACCATGCCTAAACCAGCTGGTTACTTTCTCTCTTCTCCCTGGGGTGCTGAGGCTGGGGCCCCCAGGGCTGCCAGGAGCCCACCAGCTCATGAGCCACCAGTTCTGTAGACCTCATGACTCACCTCCTGGCCTGAGCTGCCTTCACAAGTGACACAAATCCTCTGGGCTCACTCCCTCCCTGCCCCAACAGAAGCATCTCTATTGTGGCCTCAGAGGTCTTGTAAGGCAAAGCCAGCCCCTCCTTTAGGGTCCGGAGAGGTTGGAGTCTGCTCCCCAGGTGGGAAACTGACGCAGGAACGCAGGCCCCAGAGGGACCCACCCAGGGCCCCTGGGCCCTACACCCCTCTCCTGCCACGAAGGCCCTGCTAGAAGGCTCAGAGCTGCACCTGGGACGCCTCCTGGTAGACAGAGCCTCTGTGCTAACAGAGTCCCTCCCAGGAGTCTCTGAGGAGCATCGGGGAGACAGGCAGGGGCCCTGAATGGGTGTCCGGGGAAACAGTCTTTGCCAGCCTGGGGCTAGTCTGGCTGCGGCTGGGAACATGCCCTCCCAGCAAGGGCAGTAACCCTGGCTGCTGGGCAGGGCCTCCCAGGGCGGGAAAGCCTGGAGCTTTCCTGTCTGAGGGTCTGGGAGCTGAAGCCAGCGAGGTAGGTGAGCAAAAGAGAGGCCCCTGTGGGCAGAGCCTGCGCCAGCGGAAGTCTGGGGGAGAATCCCAGGGCCAGAAACCAGGCAGGAGGTCAAAGGAGCCTGCTCAGTCTTTTCAGGTGTCCCATTAGGTCCTGAGACAGAGGCCATAGTGTCGCCCCCTGCCTCCGGGCATGTGAGTGTATTCCCAAGCCCAGGGCCTCCCACTCCCCCAAAGACTGGCCCCTTCAGCCATGCTCTTCCCTCCGTCTTAGAACTCTCTAGACCAAATCAACAATAAACCTTCAGAAAAACCCTCTGGCCCAACCCCCTGCTTGCAGCCTGGGAGCTCATGGAAGTCCTCCCCCCAGAGGTGGTCCCAAAACCCCCTGCAGGGAAAGCTTTTGCGGTGTGTGGATGGCCAGGGGCACAGGGTAAGTAAGGCACAGAGCATCAGGTGCTTCTAGGCTGGGAGCCGGAGTCCAAGCCCCACCTGAGCCACTCCGCATGGGGCCCCAAGTGTGCAGCCTAGACCATCAGGGAGGCCATGCCTGGAGGCGAGCTTAGGTCCAGGCTGATCCTGGCCGGCTGAGCAGGGCTGGGGTCAGGCCCCAGGTGACAGCACAGGGAGGGGAGGGAGCGAGAGGTAGGCTGGGTCATCCTGGGAGACACGCTGGGACCAGAGTTCTCAGCAGAGAGGCTCCTGAGACTGAAAAGCTGGAGAAGTCTGTGGGTCGTGTCTTCACCAACATACCTCTTGGTGCCTCCACCTGTCATGCGTGTGGCTGTCACCTCTCTCCAGCTGCTCATCTTGGGTGCCCAAGGGGATCCCAGGGCAGACGCCGGGCGGCAGCTGGGCCCCTGAGCTGTGATCGCAGCAAGCACGTGGCACAAGGCATGCAAATAGTCTTTTTTACACCCCACCCCACCCAAGAAAAATACAAAAGAGAAAGTCCCACGTCTTGGCTCCCGGTCCTCAGACACGCAGGGAGCGTGCTGCTTCTCTCCTGCCACCGTCCGGTCCCTCTCGTCTCCGTCTCATCCGCGGGGCTGGTTCCTCCTCAAATAGGCAGTATGTGCTGTGTGGTGGATCCCAGGAAACGGTGGGGATGAGAAACCAGCCAGCGCACGGAGGCCAAATACCGGGCAGCATCCATGAGATTAAACCCCATCCTTCATTCTTCGCGCTTTTCACATCTGAGGTGGGCTGACAGTGGGGAGACCTGGGGGCTTCCCTCCAAGTTCGTGCTTTGGGAGCGCAGGGATGTCACCATCCTGTCCTCCTGCGGGAGGGGGGGGCAGCGTGAGAGTGGAGGCCTCCGGGGGGCCAGCCTCCGCCTGCGCAGCGCCCTGGTCTGTTTTATTTCTTCTGCACTGTAAAGAGAACAGTCACGGCAGAACAGAGCTTGTTTGGAGGATTTGGGGTTTTGTTTCCAGGCACGAAACGGCACCAGGGTCGTCTGATTGGGGTCTCTCGGTGGAAATGAGCTCCCACCTGCGGCAAGGCATGGGTTCACAGCGCCACGCGACCCCCAAACAGAGAACCATCGAGGCCTGAATTTTTTAAACAATTCCCTTTGCCAATTTGAGTTCAGTAGTGGTCATTTGCCGTCGACAAAGTAATGGTGAGCGTGACAAGCGGCGGGGGGCAGAGGGGACTGAGGCACACAGAGGGTGCTCCCGAGCTAATGCCCGTGCAGGCCCCTGCCCCACAGAGAGCACGGAACGCACTTCGTTTCCGACACTTGCACACTGGGGGCCATGGATTTTGAAGCCGGGCGGGCTGATTACACACCTGAGCTCGTCTTCCCTCTCCAAAGTGGCCAAGGTTGCCCATGACCCCACCGCTGAATCCCAGGCTTTCTGCCCCAGGTTGAACCCCCGTGTTCTATAGCTCAGTGCCTCCTTTAAGGCCCGGGCCTGGAATCGTATTCAAATGCAGATTCTGATTCAGTGGCTCTGGGCCGGGGCCTGAGACTCTGCATTTCCAACACATTCCCGGTGTCAGCAGCCACTGGAGTAGCGAAGTCTAGGGGAAAAGCTTAGACTGACCAGTGCAAGAGGCAGAGAGGCTTGGGGGGGGCTTCGCAAGGCGGGTACGTGCAGGGAGGGAAATGGACAAACCGCCCCGCAGAGCCCAGACACGCGGAGCTGCGCCGGCCGTTGAGCAGCTGAGAGTCACCCTTGAAAATGGTGCCCCTGCGGGGTTCACTTCCCTGGGCCAGCTCTGGGGCTCACAAGAGTTACTGCCAGACTTCCACCACGTGCGTTGGTTATGTCTGGTCTGTGCTGGCCGTCCCAACAGGAATGCTTGCAGGGCAGGCCCACCATTCACCAAGTGGCATCACAACCATGATCTTCGGTGACGCTCACAAAACTCAGCCAGACACAACACTGGCCCAGGCCGCAAGGCTCTCAGAGCAGAGACTGGAGCTGGCCACCTCTGCTTCCCAGGCCCCCGGCTCTTCCCACACCCTTTCCTAATGATCCGGGCATAAGGCAGGGCAGAAGCCAGTCCCACTCAGCTGGGCCCTGCCGGGGATGGGGTCGCTTCTCAGAGAGGATCAGCCCGTGTCCCCACAGGCTCTTACCCCATTCCCACCGCCCCCTCCCCAGGGAGCTGGGCTGCACCCTTCCGTGGTCTTCACCCCAAGCAAGCTGGCTCGCTCAGCTCCATGTGGCTGGGCCTCACCTGTGAAATTGACGGTCACGGCCACAATGATGATGATGATCCCCATGATGATGAAGGTGATGCTGAGCAGGCGGGCCAGGTGGCCCAGCCTCCGGGCCCCGTCCAGGTCCCCTTGTTGCACGCTACTTCGAGACTGCAGAGAGACAGTGGCAGAGACCTCGGGAAGGCTGCGCCCAGCAGACCTGTGGGGGGCCCCTTGCCTGTGCCTCCCGAACCCACCCAGCCCCCACCACAGCCCACATTGCAGCACCCACCTTGGGGACGGGAAGCAGGCTTCTCCTGCAGAACTGGCCTGGATTCCCACGCCCCTTGTGGGAACCCCCAACCGAGCCTGCCCCTCGCTGGAAGCAGAACCGAGCAATGCAGGGCACTTCCTCTCAGGACGGTGATGAGGCAGGTGGTGCGGGAGGATGGGCCGGGGCCAGGCCATGCTGAGCTGGCAGGAGCAGATGAGCCAGGCCTCCCTGGACCCCTGCCCAAGGCTCACTGCTATGACCACACTAAGACGGTCCCTTGGCTTTTTCCGTGGCCTGAAGTGCCTGCCTCTTTTCCTCTGTGACCCCTCTTCCACAACAGGAAAAAAGTGTAATTGATCCTACCTTCTCTCATTTCCCACCCAGGAACCACATCCCTATTCAAACAAGCCGACTTCCCAAATCACATCAGAAAGGCAGGCATCTTGGGCTTGAACTAGAGAGGCTGGGGTGTGTGGGGAGCCTCGCCGGGCTTCACAGGGGCCCATTTGATACTTTACTCTCTCTCAGTGAGCTCGGGTTTTCTCAGCCTTATTTAATTTGGTGAAAGCAGGTGGGTGAGTGTGGGGATGACCAGAAAGGATCTTGGGAGGCCCTGGAGTGGCTCAATAGGAGGTGTGTCCCAAGCATGTCCATGGAGGTGCCACATCCCTGCCCGGGATGGTTCAGGAGTCAACCTGCTGGCCGGGGCTGGCCTGTGACCTCCAGACTCCTTCAGCTATGGAACTCTCTGATGCTTCCTGGACTTCTAGAACAGCTACAGGCAGGAGTCCCCTAAAGGTGTGACTGCTTTCAAGGTCTAAGGCCACTTATTTGGTTATCTTATTTTCCAATTATTCGGGGCTCCTGAGTTCAGCATGGAAATGCAGTTGAGTCCCTTGATGATGGTGGTGGTGGTGGTGATTTATTGAACACTTACTTTGTGCCGGACAGCTTGCTAAGGACGGTACCTGAATGATCTCTTTGAGTGATCTCACAATCCTTTGCGGTTGGCAGTGTTGTCCACTTTTAAAGAAGCTGAAGTTCAGGGAAGATACTTTTGCCTCTCTGTTCTCTTGATGAGGGCGCCACCCTCCCCCAGGTCCTGTCCTTTTCTCCTCGCAGAAACCTAACCAACCCCCTACCCCACCCCATGGCTCCCTCCCAGGACAGAGCCACCTCCTGCCAGTGTTTGATGCCATCAGATTTGCTTTGCCTCAGATCTGCTCCTGGCCTTGTGCTCCTCGCCCACTTGCCCCAATACTGGTCACAGCCTGGAGTCCTCCCATTCGGTCACAATGCCTGTCCCACGCCGCCCGACCAATAAGTTTCCTCTCCTGGTCAATTCCATTGCAGTCCTCCCCGGCTGCCTTGCCCCTGCCCTGGGTCCGTGCCACTTCTCACTCAAGCCAGCACAACGGCCTCCTGAAGATCCAGCCCCCAGCTCTATGCTCTTCCTCTCCAGGCCACACCCCACACCACCATTCCCCTCCACAGAGATTGATGCCGGGCCCTGTGCTAGGCCCCTGGCATGCGGTTGTGGGGCAGGATCAGAGAGGAGGTGGAGAGTCGGGAGCTGATGCTCGAGTTTAAGGAGATGATGGTGGCTTAGCCAGTGATCCTGCCCAGCATCTTCCACGGCCCCCCACTGTCCCCAGAACAAAGTGTGAACCCAGGTTAGCTTTGCCTTTCCAGATTTTATCCTTTACTCTTCTCTTCCACAACCTCTGCGCCCAGCCAGTCTGAACTCTTCTAGGGTCTGAACACCTGCCAGTGCAACTCTCCTGCCTGCCTTCCCGCTCCCCCTCAACCATCTATGACATCCTCTCCATCCTTCGAGGACTGCCTCCAATGCCACCCCCTCTGGGAAGCCCACCAAGACTCCTCCACCTCCACCAGCATAATATTAATAATAATCCCTAACCTTATTTAAACATCTACCTTGGACCAGGAACCGTGTTAAACCTTGCCATCCAGCAGAGCATTAGAGCATCCTAACACTCCTATGAGTTAGGGAGTGTTCTTAGGCCATTTTATAAATGAGAGGCTGGAGCACAGAGCATCATGAAGGTGTGAGAGAAGCAACTGGAGAAGGGAAGAAAGGCCAGGTCAGGAAGGGCGCTGTCTATCACAAAATGGAATCTGGATTTTGTCTGGTAGGCATGGTTGGGGGGTGGTGCTAGAACTGGGTGAGACAAATAGAGGATTTCATCAAAACAGGAAAGAAAAAGATTCAGTCAGAGGAAGAAGCTGAAAAGACCAAGAAGTGATTGGTGCCCCAATGTCCCAGGGCAGTGGAGAGAGAGATCTGAACTTGAGCACAGGGATGAACTACAGGCAGCAGAGGAGAGAGCTGCCGTCCTTGGAGACTGGACAAATGTGGGTACAGGTGGTCTCACACCTCAACAGGTCTGCAGGTAGGTCTGGGCAGAAAGTTGTGAGTGTCCATGCCTCTGGACCTCAGGGTGCCCAATGACAGTGGACGAGTGTCATCCAGTGAGAGATTAAAGAGAAGGTGGGTGTGGCTTGAGGAGGGGCATGGGCAGGGGCTCAGGCAACAGCCCATCCTGAGACTCACAGGCACACCTGGACCTGGCAAGGACTCAACCGGGAGCAGGTGTAGCTGGGCAGCCCGGAGGGGAGCACAGGTTTTGGAGCCAGACCTCCTGGGGGCCTGTCCCCACCCTCCACAGCTGTCCCAGCTGCATGACCCCAGGTGAGAGGCTTCTTCTCTGTCTCTCCTCATCCTCAAATACAATCAGGTATGAGTTCCTGACCTTTCTAATGTCCCTCAGATCTGTCCGTACCTTTCCAGCCAACTCCACTGCCTTAGCCCACTCCCACGATAGATTTCATCTAGAGACTACACCAGCCTCCTCCTCACTAGTCTCTTTGCTCCAGCCTTGCCCCCAGCCGACCTCTTCTCAACAGCCAAGGTCAGTTCTTTAAGCCATAAGCCTGGTCATATGACACCCCATAAAATGGATACATTTTTTAAATTAATTTTTTCTGTTTCTTTTTTCAATTTTTAAAAAAAAAATTTAAGTAGGCTCCATGCCCAACATGGAGCTTGAACTCATGACCCTCAGATTAAGATTAAGGTCGCATCCTCGACCAATGGAGCCAGCCACATGCCCCGAAAGGGACACATTTTTATGCCTCGGTGCTTTTTCGTGGACTGCTGTCTCTGCTGGAATGCCTTTCCTCATTACCGTGTTGCTACCTCCGTAGCTCTTCTCACCCTTCAAGAGTCACCTCCAGTAAAACTTCCCTTGGTGCCCACAAGCAATTAATCAGCCCCTCCTTGGGGCTCCCATAGCATCTTAAACCATGCTCTTTTCCTCCCTTCCCACTTTGTGTCATTAGTTCTTGTGTCAGTCTCTTGCCCTAGACTTGCAGACAGGGACCGCACAACCTCAAGCTTGGGGTCCCTCTTATGTAACCTAGGGACTGGCCCTAAGAGGCGTTCAGTAAGTATTTGAGGAAGTAAAGAATGAAAGAAGAGAAAAAGAATGAGAGGAGAGTCTGTTTTCTAATCACTGAACTTAGCCAATGGAATGCTCCAAGTTAATAGAAGATTCATGAATGAAATAAAGGCAGTGGGTCCCACAGGAAAGATATCTGTTATCTGGGTTTTGGCCCCACCCACTAACCCATGCCACCTCCGGCTCTCTGCATGGCCAGCCCAGGTCACTGAACAAAGGACTTCGACACCAAAGCAACACCTTCCTCTTGGGAGGAAGAGGAGGCAACATACAGAAAAGCTTCAGGAATTTCCAGGAAGTTCGGCGTTAGAAATTCTGGGGCTACCTTGAATCATTACCAAGAGACTCATTCTCAGCTGTAAGCATGGCATGCGGTGGGGAGGGCCACAGGGCTGGAGATGAGTCCTGCTCCTCACTTGCCAGAGAAATCACTGTGCATTGGGCAGGACATTGGTTCAGGACCGTGGAGAGAGGTGCACGTGTTGTTGCTTGGGTATCAGAGGTGGGGAGAGGAAGCAAGAGAGGGAGAGATGAACTTTTCAGTCATCTAAACCCAACCCCTCTTCTTTATCCACAGAGCCATCAGCCTATGCATCCCAGTCATGCATGTTCCTTTGAGCCTGAGAGACAGCGTTGAGGGAGATGCACTGGAAAAGACCGAATGAGCAGGGCAGACCTGACTGCACCTGCTTTGTTGGATCATACACTTTATCTGTCATACGCCGTCCAATGTAAACCTCACAACTCTTCTTTAAGTCTTAGTTTTCTGATCTGTAAAATGGAGTCAATAGCTGCCTTGAAGAGTAGAGCCCTACTTTTATAGATAGAAGTTGCTTGCCACCAGCTGGCACTTGTTTCTGAAGTCCCCCCATTAGTTTCCAAGTGAAAAACCCATCCCTGGACCTCAGGGATGGAAGAAGACCCTTCTTTACTTTTTATGAGTAAATTACCAGCTGCATTTCAAACCCCACTTAGTGGCATCCTCTTCCCCTTATACAAAATGGCTCAAGTTGAAGACACAATGATAATTGCAGTGATGGTTGTAATGACTGTGAATTAATAGATCATTTGTGATTGCAATGGTTGTGGGAATGGTAAGGGAGAAAATGAATTTGGGTTAATAGGTCAGCGAAGAAAGGCACTGAAAAGAGTCTGAGAGCTGGTAGGGGATGGGGAGGGAAGTGGATGGGGTAAGGAAGGTGCTGGGGAGAGCTGCCAGGGGATGAAACCAGCCAGGGGAGGGTGGTAACAGAACTTATCAGGAAAGAGTTTCCTCCCCCCATGAGGCTCTGGTCAAGCCCTAGCAGATCTGTGGAGAACTGAAAAGATGTGATCAGCTGCTCGATGATCAGCTATTTGTCCTTCCACAGAGATCAAGCAAATCCGGGCAGGTCAAAGCCAAGGGATGTGCCTCC